GAAAAGTACTTAATTTGTAAAGCAGCTTCTCAAATGAGAACATACCGTTCAGAGGGTATTCTGTCAAAACCCAGATTTCAGAAATGAATCAATTTGAAAAAAAAATCAAGGTGGACAAGTTCTTTTTCAATAAGTGTTACAATTAGCAGCGAAGTCCACTAGTCTAGTGTAAGGTTCTGTAAAAGTACAATCTTAGCGAAAGCAAAATATGCCACCAGAGGGTTTGACTGAAAAACTTTGCCCCACACTATTTTGTATCTGAGTGCAAACGCCACTAAAGACATGGCTTAAAATCCAGAATAAACCATCATAAGGGGAAAAGCACTGCAAGGGTTCTCTCCGTTTTTTATTATGTTAATGGTACTGTGAGGTCATGGTTATAAATTAACCTCAGAGGTATGTGTTAAGCAGTTTCTCTTGGCCTTGCTTCAACCCATATCCATCAATAAGCATGCGTCTACCCTAAGAGGTCTTTTATTATCTTCAAGCAGTTGACATAAAGTAAATGTAGTCGATGGCTACCTGGCCTTAATTGAAACCGGAGGCAAGTGGACAGTTTACTGATTAGCTGAGATGACTTATTTTATCTGCCTGAGTTTTGGTTCTAAAGCTTTGCTTATAACCAGGGATCCTGGTTTTCTCTGATTTTAAAAAATCCCCAATTTTTGGTTTAAAAAAAAAAATAACACCAAATCCACATTTTTCCAGGACTTAAATGAAATGACACTATATATATATGTGCACTATTAGCGGTGTTTCATTTAACTGACAGAAAAATGTGTAATTGGGGTTACTTTTTCTTAATTGAAAAGTGGAGATTTTTTTTAAATCAGAGAAAACCCTGCTTATAACTGAGCTTACTATGGCTCACTTCCTACTGAAATGTTTTTAACCGTTAGGGGAAACTTGTTGCATATATCTTTTCTTTTTTTTAATCCAAATCGTCTATTGATATAAAGGCATTTATAATGTAACCAGATAGCTCTCTGTTTATAGGTCCCCCGATTAATTTTAGTGGCTGGCTGTTTTGATTGCTATTGCTGAAAAACCTGTCTCTAAGCTGTAATAAAATGTACAGACAATGTCACTCTTATTATCTGGAGCAATATATATTTATTTAGCTGTAAATTGCTAGTCTGTGGTTCTGGCATCAGGTGATGTATCAATTCCATAACAAAAGGGAATGCATCTAGAGCCCCACAAATGATTATGCAGATAGAAAAAGTCACGGCACTTCTTGGTTTTTCTTTCTTGAAACAATAAGTGTCACAGCATACTTGTGTATTTTTAGAAAATCCAGCTCTCTTGGAGGTTATCCAGTGTTCCTCTAATGATTGCTAATGTGGAGTTCATGGGGCACGAAGTGTTCACTTTTCCAGCTCTCATAGATTGAAAGCTGCTAGTTTGATGCAGGTAAGGAGCAAGAGTGATAGTCATGAGGTTTGTTTTCTCCCCACTTGACTTTCTGTGGTTTTAGCAGTCAAACCCTGCCACCTCTCGCTCTCTATTTGGCAATGGCATACAATTTCCTTTACATTTTGCAATAGATCTGAGAGTAGTGCTCTTGTGGCCGAGGGAATAGGGTCTAAAGCAGTTCCTCGGTATTACCCTAGCACATTGGAGCCCTCAAATGCGGCCTCAGGCTTTAACGACCACGAGTAGTTCCTTTCCGACAGCTATTAAAGATGGCCACTGCAGCCACCTGCCAGTCAGCACCAATGTCGGGATTCCCAGCAGTCCAAGAGACACGAGGACAAGAACTGTCTACTCGTACGGCAGTACAGGGTCTCTCATGTTGGGCATAACCCCTCCACATTCAGCGCTCTCCAGTGTTGTGCTGGAGAGCATTTTCTCTGTGACTCCCCCCCCCCGGAAGATATCTTCATTTCCCATGAATGCCAATCTGGCAGCTTTCCCCCGTTTATTACATAATGCTTTTATTTCTTCATTTTTTTCAGTAAAGTACAACAGTTGAACTCTCTGGTTACCATGGCTACAGTACAAGTTTTGTGACGTTGACAGCTACTGTAGTGAATGCATCGGCAACCACAAACTACTAAGGACAGGGGAATTTATGGGGAGAAATAGAGACCAACTTACATTATTATTCAAAACTTAAGTTGAACCAGGCTCAGTGAGATTGAGGAAAAAAATGTGGTTTGCTCTTTAAATTGTTCTGATATTTGAGCACTTCTGTGGTTTTAACCAGCTGTGAGATCCAAGATAATCAACCAACTACTTTAGCCTGTTCTGCTGGTTCTACTCCGCTAGGAAATCTAATGAAAAAGAAGTCAATTGTACAAGCTAATAAGCAGCCGCATTTTTGGATAAGTGTTCCAACTGAACTCCCAAGCTTTTCAGAGTTTTCCTGTCTCTACAGAAGTTTATGGGAACTGCTACCCTTTGGGCTTTTTTTTTTTTTAAGCCTGCATGCAACTAACTCATGCAGGCTCTGATGAACATACCTTCTTTTGCAGTCCATGCCTGAATAAAGGCTTCTGGATCTGACCTTGCACAAGTCACTTGTGGGTCTGTTAGAACGGGTGCTCAAGAAAGGTCAGAGAAAATCCTGTACGGGGGGGGGGGGAAAGCAATTCTTTGCATTAGTTAGAAAACACATTCAAAGGAGACAACTCAGAGTAGTATTCTCTTGCTTTGCTACACTAGGTGCTTTTTTATTTAGTGTTGATCAGATGAGTGAGGTCTTTAATCAGTCACGCCCGAAGCGTAGACCAGAACCAGATTTCAAAGTTATCTCCTACTGCCAAAGCAAGTGCCCCTGAGATATCAGAGAAGGTTTGGTCAGAGACCTAAGTTACAGTTGATGTTGAAAAGGAGAAAATGCCTTTCCTCACACTGTGCACTATTGTTATTCCTATCACTTATACAGTGACAGGGCAGATCCAAGGGAGGGGGGTGCACGGGTGCCTTTGCACACCCCTTTGATTCCTACTCCACTGAAAGTTAAAAGCCAACTGCCTCGCAGTGGCAGCAGCATTTCTACTCAGACAGGGTTCAGGGAGTCACCTGACTACATGGCTCAATATAATCTACCTGATCCCTTCTAAACTCTTCTTTCCACAGGTGTTAATGAACCCCGCCTTTTAATGGTCTTGATGCCCTACTAATCAAGCTAGCCTTTCTTCTACCATTCTGCTGTTTGTTAGCTGCTCCTGGCGAAGAAACACCTATTTCACAGTCTTCCAGATTAGTTTTTTAACTCATTCCATTGATGTTATATTTATTTTTGCTTCTTAAACTGAATAATATAGCCCTAGGCCCTAGCACATTGGTAAAGCTTCCAGTTTATTTTAAATTATTTTTATAGTTAAATATGTGGGAGGGTTTTATATGTGACGGTACACCTCACCACCTGCACCCCCTCCTTTCAAAACTCTGGATCCACCCATGTACAGTGAAGTACTTGGCAAGCTTTAAGTATTCCTTATGTCTCCTGTGGGAAACATCCCTTGGGAAACTGAAATGGAGGAAGTGATCTGCTCAAAACTTCAGAGGAAAGCAGTGTCACAACCAGAATTAAAACCTGGTTTCTGTTCTACTACCCCTCTGTTTGTCCTTTCAAGAGTAAATGCACTGCTTCCTGTTGCAGGACATCCCCAGCAGAGCCTCTCAACCTAAAACTACAGATTGGCATCTAAAATGGCAGTTTTCACAGATGTCAAGCTTGTTTGATAATAACTTTTTCATTGGGCCAACTATATAGTTGGAACATGTGTTAGACAAAATGCCCCCCTGAGATACCTACCCAGTTTGTACATCAGTGCTTCCCAAACTTCCTCAGCATGACCCTTCCTAAGCATGGCCCCTCACTCCCAACCCACAGCCCCCTGCCCGCCCCAGCTGCCACCCGCAGAAGGCAGAGGATGCTGCACCCAGAGCCTGGCTTCCTCCCTTGCCCATGGGCAGCGCTGCTGAAGCAGAGCCCATGGGCAGGAGACGGTGCGGGCTGCCTGCTGCAGGCCTGGGGCTTTCCATCCTTCTTGCCTCTTCCTGGGGGGCTCCATGACCCAGTGGGCAGGACCCAGTGTGGGAGGGAGGGAGCACTGCACCACCATGGCTGCCAAGCTGAGATGCCCCCTGCTTACCTGGTAGCAGGTTGGTCACAACTCAGCACCACCACTGCTGCCATGCCTCACTTTGGTGGCCATGGTGGTGCAGCACTCCTTCCTACAATGGGTCCCACCTGCTGGACCACAGAGATGGCTCCTGCCCAGAGATGGTCCAGCCTGGCTGTGGCCCTGCACCCTGCTGTTGGTGCAGAAATCTCAGGGGGCACGTTTATCGCACCCTCATCTGCTGATGTTGCGAGCCCATTTGCGGTCGCAACCCACAGTTTGGGATCTGCTGTTCTACATGCTCTTTAAGGTCACTAAGTATTTTGTTGCCATCAAGTCAGAGTGGGTGAAAAGATTTATTAGTAGGGACCTACCGAATTCACAAATGTGCGATTTTTGCTGAAACCGTGAATTTGTACGGGCTCTGTGAAAAATGGCAGGATCTGCAATTTTGGCCAGCTCACTGCAAAAAGAAAAAAAAATTAAAAACAATATGACAAGCAGAGAGTTTTGGAGCACAGGAAGGAAGGGGCAGAGAGGAGGAGGGGTGGGATGGGGTGGGGCTGCTCACAGCAGGAGGCATGGAGCCTGCCTGCAGCCTCTGTGCCTCTTGCTGCGAGCAGCGCTGCCCTGCCCACCCCCAGCCTTGTTCCCTGCAAAATTGGCCAGCCACCTCCTTGAGTTTGGTTGACCCCTACTCATAAGCCACCTTTGCAAAATTGTCCCTGTATACTTGCAAGGACTTGAAATAAAAAGTTTAGTAAATTAATGAGTAGATGCATGCTGCTTATAGTAACCATCCATTAAAGTGAACAATGCATGGGCTAACACAAGTCATAAATGACCAGAAGTGGAAGGGTGTGAAGAATGACTGCCATGTTAATGATTCAGATATATTCTGCAATTCTCTTGTCTTTGTTGTAGAAAGATGAGAAAGCGACGATTGCCAAGATGAACCGACAGCGCGCGAATTCCATCAGTCACAACCCACCACACTGGGGAGTAGATCGCTCGTTTTACAACCATCTCGGTACTCATCAAGTTTCCAAGGAGATGAAGAGAATGGTAAAGATGTTTTGCTTTATGGAATATTTAATGTGTATAGTAACATGAGAAAGTATGGTGCCTTGCTGAATAATAGTAAATGGTCTGTGGAGCCCCGGGGAGTTTACGATCTACTGGCCTGTCCTACACACCCTTTCTTTTGGGCATGGTGAATTTTACTTTGATTTCAGAAGGAGCTTGAACAGTAGTAATTGGTACCTGTGGGCACAAGAATGTGTGAGATCATGCCCTAGGGCACTTACACACATGCAGCAAGTCCGCTCTGACATGCTGGAAATCCAGCATGTTGGAGCAGACTCAATTAAGTGATTAATTGAGTCTGCTGGAGCACATAATTGATGTGCCTGGCGCTGCATCGGGTACAGTTGTATAAGTGGCACAGCATGCGTTAGAGGTGAGAAAATGGCGGGCACTGTGCTTTGAATTAAAACACATTCAATGTGCTTTAGCTCAAAGTTCACCACCACCGTTTTCTCAGCGGTGAAATACGCTGTGCTGCTTATACACCTGCACTCGATTCAGCACTAGGCACTTTTAATTATTACAAATCGCTAATTAAAAGCACCCAGCTCTGTATCAGGAACACATGTGAAACTCTGACAGGTTGGGCGAGATGGGTATGCCTTCTACTGAATACATTTAGAAATTAAGTACTGAAAATGTAGAAAAGGGCAGTTTCCTCCCCCCTCTGCCAGTCTCTTACACGGTTTAATACAGGGGTCGGCATCATTTGTACCGACCGACAGCTACATGTGTACCCACCGCCATGGAAAGTAGCCTCCTGGCTACTTTCCACAGCTGGCCCAGGCTCTGGGCAGCTGTAGCAGGTGGCTGGAAGGCTGCAAACAGCTGTGCCAGGTTCTGCAGCCCCAGCACTGGCTCTGTGGCAGTTGTGCATGCACTGCTGGGTGGATGGCAGAGGAGGAGCCAGGGTTGTGCTGCCCCAGCCCCTTCCCTGCTGTGTGCTGTGAGCCATGTGTACACCTGCAGCACCATGGAACTGGTGCTGGGGCTCCGGAGGCCAGTGCAGCTGTTTGCAACCTCCTGGCTGCCTGTCGCAGGCTCTGGGCAGCTGTAGCAGGTGGCTAGACAGCTGCAAACAGCTGTGCCCAGCTCTGCAGCCCTGGCACCGGCTCCATGGCAGTGGCAGCTGCACACGTGCCTCTGAGCAGATGGTGGGGGAGGAGCCAGGGTTGTGCTGCCCCAGGCCCCTTCCCAGCCATGTGCCCAGAGGTGCATGCATAGCTGCTGCAGCCACAAAACTGGTGCCAGGGTTGCGGAGCCCCGTGCAGGTCTTTGCAGCCTCCCAGCTGCAGCCAACCCAGACTCTGGGCATATGCTGGAAGAAGCTGCCCTGTGTTTGGGTTGGCTGTGGTGTGCCGAGGAAAATAGCCTTGCATGCCATGCTCTGGCATGTGTGCTGGGGGTTTGCCGATCCCTGGTTTAATACCTGCCAGTTTTTTCTCAGTTTCATTGCTATGGCTCAGTTCTGTACACATCCAGGAAGGAAAGTTATGTCTTCAAGCTCATTGGTCTCCAGAGTCCCTGCTAAATGGAATCCTTAAGACTTTTAACTCTCCCAAGGAAACGTGGGAGCTCTGTCCCTGGTACCATTAAGATTGCTATGTGTCTACCTCTTAGGAATGCACTCCAAAACATACAAAATAATTGACCTATGGTAACATGCTGTCCTCTATTTTCTTCCCTTCCTTTTTTCTAATTGAAACTCAGTATCTAGTTGGTTGCTAACTCAACTTCTCAACAGAACAATGCTGCCCGTATGTTGTTTGAGAGCACTCCTTATGACTCATTTCAGGCAAGGGTGGAGATGTGATCTTTATTTCCCTGGGTTCCTGAAAGAAAGATGAGGGGGAAAAGAGAATCTTTCATTTTAATAAGCAATTTATAATAATAATACTTAGCATTTTCATAGTAATTTACATCATCGCATTGCTTTGTGAGCATTAGTTAATTACTCTTTAATGAAGCTTTTTAAAAGAAATGAATTTCTTTTAAATATTCTACCTATCTAGTTAATTTAGGGCAAAATTAAAATTGTGCTTCAGTTAAACATGCATCCGTCTCTCAGATTATGGGTAATGGCACAATCATTTGGGAACTGCAAATTATATACAGTTAATCACTTTGCATATGCAGTATGTGGCTGCGTTGCCAACTCAGAACTCATTTTTGAAACTGCGGTGCATGCTGAATTATTGGAGAATTAATGTTTCCTCCATAGCATGACTGAGTATAATTGAGGGCCTCTGTTTCTACAGTGGCTCATCGTGCTGTACTGGAATTGCATGTACAAAAACTACATTAAAAAACCATCGCTAACAATACAACATCAAGCGCCCAAAAATAAAGAAATGCCCTAAGGAAGCGTGTCTGACCCAGACTTTACAGGAAAAGCGTCCTTGAGCCGTAGATTGGAGAAGCCTACTCCATTTCTCTGTGGAATTGCATGGGCACAGCCTTGTCACATGGAGAAGTTGGCAGCAGCTTGATCATGCTCAGTGGGGAAGGAACCTGCAGGGTTTTAGCGGTTCGGGTCTAAGTTTCTACTGAGCAAGTGCAAACGGCAGTTTTTCAGAGCTTTATAACTCCACTCGAGTTAGGCAGGTTTTCACCAGGACAGCAAGTGGCACCTGGCTATTTCCTACCATACTTCAAGTCCCTGCTCCAGAGCAAGAGGACACTAGAGCTGTTGAGAGGCTCACCAGATTTCCTTATTGTAGGCCTAACAATGTGTTCTTCCTTATCCTTGCTCCCAGAAATAGCTGAGCCCTTTGCCTGAAATATTCTAATTGCAAGTGAAGAAAGTTTTGAAACCAAGCGTGTTTGGCGTAAGTCTAAGCAACTGAAAACAGGGTCTTATACTGAAAAGTCATCTTAAATATAGCACAGTGCTGTTCAGCCTGTCTTTACATTTCACTTCAGAATATGCAAGCTTAATCTGTTCATATTGACATAATAATATTGTTGTGTACTGGGAATACTCCTTTCCCAAACTGTTCAGATGCAATTCCACAAAGTAGGAATATGAACTGAGCATCTTATTGTGTCGGCTTTTCAATAGTGGGGACACAATAGGCACGACATTATTAGAGGATCTTAATCAAGCTAGTGTGTAATTATTATACAATTTCTTTTTTTTTGGATTGGCTTTTAAAGGGTTCTTGCAGCCTGTTCAGAAACAAGGAGTGAGCATGCCAAGTGCTATTATGCTTCATGTTGTTAATTACAGTTTGCCATGTCTAGCTCGTTGTTCAGATGGAAAAACATAATTATTTATTGAAATATCAAGCTGGGATTGAAAAACTTCACTGCCTGTTGCTTGTGGGTGGAGGAGGTTTCTGGGAATGAGAGAAGATGGTGTGAATTTCTTATTCCTTTTCACAGCTTCCTACCTGTCCATGCATTAGTATATACCTTCTAGAAAGTCTGCAGCACCGAAATGCTTCCCTGGGTACTCATTTTTGTTGCCTATAGTAACAATACTTCTTGGTTACACCGATGGAAAAGGTTCATTTCAGAGGTTGCCACCATCTGCAGCTGCATGTCAGACTCGCTCCTCAACACCGGTTTGAATCTGACTCATTTGTGCGGTGTTATTCTCAGTATGTTTTTGTTTCCTTCACTATTGCTTTTACATAATACTTTTCTAGTAGCATTTTTTTATCAGATGCTATAGTCAAAACTATAACTTGAGTTGGTCCATAGGGAATTGCATTTGAATGTCCCCAAAGCAGGTTTTTTATTGTTTCAATCACGGGCAGAATTTTCCCTGTTCATTGCCATTTTTTTCCTGCAAATTCTTCAGTCACTTCTTTTTTTTTTGGTTTGTACATGCAATGTGGGCAGCCCAGTAATGTGTGCATTATAATATAATGGCTGCAAAATATATGTTTATGTTTATTATGTGTACGCTGTATATATGTATATGCAGAGTCTCATTTTTTCCCGAGCCATGCAATCCAGTTTGCTGTGCTCACAAGCAACCATCTAATAAAGTATTTCTTCAAAAGGAGCCATAAGAGTATCAACTTTGGCTTGTATCGCACACCAATCCGCAAAGCACCTGGTTTAAAAAAATAAACCTTTCACTGTGCCCCAGCAAGAACGCAGAAGACAAAGACGCCATCAGTACCTTTTCCAGTCCCAAAGCAGGCAGTTTATTAGGTAAAATATGCTGAGGTGGTCCTAATAAGTGGACAGTAGTTACTGCTGAGCTGACTTGGAGGCAATTCCTTCCCAACCCCAAATCTGAGTACTGGTTTTTACCATAAGTATCCAGGCAAGGCCCAGTAGCCAGGCACCTGAGGGGTTTCTTGGTACCATATGCTATGGTGTGCTGGTACTCCTAACTGTCCATCTCTAGCCAAGGTCAATGTCCAGTGCTTCAAAAGAGAGCAGTACAAGAGAAAAAAAGAAAAAAAAAAACACCCGGAAGCCAAATTATGTTTTCCAGGAGAGGGACAAAAAGAAATCTTCCTCACCCTTAGAGGTTATTAGCAGAAACCTTAAAGCATGCAATTACCTAACATCTCCCAGAAATGCAAGCAATCCATATGGTGATCAGTATTCCTTATAGTATATCTCACACTCTTATTACTCCAAGAGTGCCCCCATCAATTGTACTATCTCTTCTGTAAATGTATGCCCCATCTTGAAAGCAGTTCAGGTTCCTTTCTTCCACATTGTTCCAGAACTTTATTCCTCTAATAGTAAAAAAAACTTCTAATTTCCAGTCTAAATTTACTTGTAAACAGTTTTCACCTATTTATTTTTGTAGCAATATTGTCATTTAATCTAAATACCTCTTCTTTTTCCTTGATGTCCACCTACTGACTGTCCCTTATAAGGAGTACTTGTAACCCCTGCAACCTTTATTTTGCTAAACCAGACAAGAAGGTCGTTTCTCCATCCCTTATTCATTCTAGTGGCCCTTATCTGTGGCTGTTCCCATTTAAATTCAGTTTCTTTGAAAGCAGATG